TCGTGTAAGAAACTGTGAGTTATAGTAATGATAACATTGACAACCTAGTGGATTAATTTGACGAAAATCTTTCCAACTTCCAATTGCTTTGAAGTTTTCTTTATTATTTCTGAATGTACAGTGTATTGTAAGCACAAATAAATTTTCGGCAATCTAACTCCCTTTTCTATCTGTGTTGAATCCACATTCAGCCGTTAGTTCTGGCTGCGTCTGCAGTTGTTAACACGCATCAATCCGTACAGGTTTTTCGTGGTGGGAACCATGACCCATTTTCCATATTCAATTCTAATACATTTGTAGGAAGGCCTGTGTATTATCCGTGGGGATATTCTTAACACAAGTGCTTTGGTTACTTTGTTTGGGACCTTTGAAATATAAATAACTAGCTATTGTCTCGCAACTTTTTTCCGCATACATTACAGTCTACATCACTTGCATATGATTTAGCTCCCGTAGATGAATAACTTTTTTAAATAAGTGCAATTATTTCGGAATATATTCTGTCTTCTTAATAATATTTGTATATATGATGCCTAATATTTTATGCTATTAATTTTTCAGGTAAATTGACTATAATCACATTAGGTACATTAACTAACGTGGCTTTGGCAATAAAAAGTGATCCACATTTTCTGGACCGACTTGAACATCTTTATGTGGCAGCTGGTCATATTCACGGTAAATATTTAACCAACATGTAACTACAAAGTGATTGCTAAAAATAGGATTACTACTTACTAGGCCTTGTTTCAATTCCCGATATATCGTTGCCGTTTTTAAGGCCATGATCACATGGAGTACGTATATATCGGGAAAAATAAATACATTTTTAGCAATCATTTTCATGATAATAGTCACGTAAGTTTAAAACAACTTGTAGTATCTTTGTTTGATATCTAAAATGACGATCAATTTGTAATTTTGGAAGATTCTAGATAACTGTTTCTTATTGATGAATTTACAATATTAATATTTTATAATAGTTATTTTCCAGCGAATTTGACAACGTAAATTCTAACATACCATGCATACGAGGCACCTACGATGTTGATGGGATAGGTACTAGGAACTATTAAAAAAAAATATATTTCCCGTAATCAAACTAGATGTCGCTACGGTACTTTCTTGGTTTCTCCATGACAACCCTTCCGGTTTTCTTTCATGTATAAAAGTTTCATGTTACAAATCAGAAACATTAAATTCGTCATTAAACCTTAATGGAAGTTTGTACAACTGGGCGTCTGATACCTAATACTTATAATGAATAAATTTAAAAATATTTTAGATGAAAACAATACAGAAGCTGAATACAATTTGCATATGGATGTAGAAGCTTATCACATAGTCGCACAGAACGCAAATCCCGACAAAGTCACTTTCTTTCCGTTCTCACAAGTGATGAAGCATTTAAATATATCGAGAGTGAGTATACATATATCATGACAAGCAGTACTATTCAGGGTCGAACTTAAAGTTGAAAACCGCGCTGTCACAACGTTAAGATTCACAAAACAGAATTCATAAGGTAATGAATGAGGGTTTATTTGATCGAACCTCTGATCTTTAACAGCGCTGTGTCCCTTTTTTTGGAAGAAAAATATCCAGACAGAAATGTATGAGCGACGAGGAGCTTGATAGCGCGCTAGACACTGCGCTATCAAGCTCCTCCAGGTCTGCTATTTTGCAATGGCCGACCTGAGGATGGGTCACCAAAAATTTAAATTTCTAGAAGCCGTTGGTCCCGACTGCATCTGATGTTAATATCCCATGGGCCCAATCTGCACTGGGTTCGCGCTATTTTCCCTATTTGATTCGAGCGTTATTAAAGTACCCTATTAAGATAATAATTGTTTGTGACTTTCTCAGGAATGGAGAGAGCAAGTATTCGGTGCCATTGATTCGGACATCGTAAGGGCTCAAAATAAATTTGAGCGGTTCGCGATCGAACAAAGCGACCGTTGGCACGCCCTCGACCCTGCGGCAGTAGCTGTGGCGTTGAATCCAGAACTAGTCACAGAATATAAGTATATAAAGCAAGAAGTTGGACTTTGCGGTAAGATTACTCGAAAATATATCAAGATAAAAAAAATTCAAACTTCTCTAATATACCTATATTAGGTATAATACAAAATGTGTTCACCATATTTCTAAGTCTAAAACAAAGAAAAATCTTTTTTGTAATTTTTGAAGTCAATTTAAGTTTATAACAATTATTCGTTAAAACCGATTCACTATTAACAAAAACAACGTATGACATACAAACAGTTGAATTGATAATATTCTCTTTCATTAGAGTACGTTAAATATGAAACATGTTTCATTTAGTAGAACAAATTATCCTAGCGAAAGCTAGTGGCTAGTGAAATCTTGTGTCGAGATTTTTTACGAATGTTTTTACAGTATATTCGTTTTTGATTTCAGGTTCGAAAAGAGGTATAATATCACATAGTTTCGTAGAAAAGAATGAAAGCATGGGGCGACTTATATACTCAGTAGATGAAGAAAAATACAAAAAGTTTTTGATGGATGTATTTTCAGCATAATGTTCAATACAAGAAATATAGTTCTATTTTAATAATCAGATGTTTTGCTTTTTATACCAAAATATATTTTTATTTTCTATGGAAATGTAATGCATAGTTTAGATAAATTGTGTATTTTATTGTTAAATAACTTTAGTTTTAAAAGGTAAAAAGTTTTGAAGGCATTTAAGTGTGTGAAAAGAGAAGAAGGTCTTACGACTAACCTCAGATACATGGGCAGTCCATGATAGATTTGAATCCATTGTAATTCCAAGATTTTTTACAGTATCTGTTAACTGGATCTGTGTCCCATCCAAAAGCAGTGGTGGTAAAGATAATGCAGAAATAGAATTAATATTAAACCTGCTACCTATCACAATGGCCTGAGATTTACTCGGATTAAGCATGAGGCCAAACGATTTTGTCCAAGTACCGATGCGATCCAAATCGTTATTAATAGCTACCAGTGCCGAGTTACAGTCTTCTATTTTAAAGTGTCGATAAAGCTGCAAGTCGTCTGCATAGAGGTGGAAGTTGGAAGATATAATTTTAGTAACCGAGTTAATGAAAATGCAAAATAAGAGAGGTGAGAGAACAGCACCCTGAGGAACACCCGCACCGAAGTCGCACCACTCAGAAGATTTATTATCAAGACGCACACGTTGCGTGCGTCCCCGAAGGTAGGAATCAAACCATGAGACAACAGAAGGAGAGATATTGCAAGAACGAAGAATAGCGAGAAGAATGTCAAAATCAACAGAATTAAAAGCACTGCTGAAGTCTAGAAGAATTAGAACTGTAAGAGCTTTATTCTCCATAGCCCAACGAATATCATATTATTATTTATTATTTACAGTCCTCATCCCCACTAGCTATCATTTTGGTCCTTCGAAAGAAAGTAGCAAAAGAACAATATAAAAATATGACAAATTAATATAAAACGGTGGCGCTTTCCAGCCAGTCGCCTACAAATAGTATAGATATAAATAGAATATAGACAACTGTACATACTTTATTTTTATTACAGGTGATTACAAAGGAATTAATACTAATAAATTTGTAGAAAAAGAAGAGGCAAATGTGAGAGTTATTTATTCATTCAACGGTGAAGACTACCGGCAGTACTTAATAGACCTCATGAGTCGTGGCGCATAAATAAATAATCGTATTATGAAAACGCACTTTCATTTATATTTTAAAATTGTACAATTTTCATTGAAAGGGTTTTTTTTAAATTATTTATTTAATTTAGGTTGACATTTCAGATCCATCTGAACTGTTGATAAGCAAGATGTGGTATACCAACAAGACAGATAAAACAGAAGATAAAAAAATGTAAAAGAGGTTCTAGTCAAATGGAATTAAATGGCAAAAAAAGAGTTCAATGTCGAAAGAAGATGAAAACTATTTTTTAATATTAATTAATTTAGAATGCATAAATATTTTAGTTATCTCTTGTACGCATCATCATCATCAACTCTTTTACGTTTCCACTGCAGGGGCTCAGGCCTCCCTTTTGGATGGTTAAGGAGAATGGGTCATGACTTTGGCCCAATGCAGATTGGAGGGTATTGAAGACTACAAATGCAGTCGGGATCAACGTCTTAACGTTTCTTCCGAAGTACGGAGTAGCCCAAAATAAAAATTTTTGGTCACCCATCCTGTGACAGACCATTGCGAAAATTGCTTAGCAACTATCGCGGACCGCTGCGTTTACCTACAACTCCACCGAGCTACTTTATTCTAATACTCTATACTAACAAATTAAATACAATCCGTATAGTAAATGTTCGTCACAAACCCCATTGACTGCCATTCATCCATTATGTAAGCCGTACATAGATGTCAATGTACCTACGTTGACTCCGGTGATGGAATTTGTCTGGTAAAACCAAAATATCATTGGATGAAACGAAATCGTAGAGTTCCTTTGCAAACTCACCAAAACTTAAGAATTACTGGCAGAACAAAAACCCTACCCTTTATTGATTGATTATATTTGATAGTGGAGAAACACTATTACAGTTACAGTGAAAATCATAAAGGAGCTCAAATTCAAATCAATATTAATCGACCGAAAACAAAAGAAAGAGTTATAATTTAAAGTACAAATTATGAGCCAGGATTATCTTTGCATAATGACAAAGCTTTCTATGCAATATCAATAAAGTATTATAATAAAAAACTTAATATTTGTCTTATTTACATTTTAATTTGGCTTAACCCTTTAAAAAAATCTCTCTACTGCACAACAAAAACAACATTGCATTCAACATTAAAATATGTCCTTTAGCGCAACTATATTAATCTGGTATCTCTAGATAATCATATGATAAGGTCACCTATTTTCATACTTACAATACAGCGAGAGTTATATATGAGAAATATTATTTTATCGACACTCCATACTAAGACGCTATCTTTAATTAACTACCGACCCTCATGTTTATATAATAGAAGTCAAATTGAATCGGCAATATGATTGCTAGAGACTGTCTCTTTCATTTGCGGCATCCGTTAGATAAGGACGACAAGAGTCCCTTCCGCCAATGTGACATATGCGTCAGAGTTCGTGCGGTAGAGTCATTTTGGATTATCTGTACTACAATACCCTTTTGTTTACAAAACAGCTGATGTAAAATGTCATTATTATATTTGGTTTAAGACTTAAATCATTCTTTTCATAATTAAGTATGTTGAATTGAAGTTCTATGTTTCAGTATATTTATAAATTGTTGTGTTATTGTTAGATTTTGATGTTCTTAAATATGCTTTGTGGAAGGTAAGTAATACTGATCTCTTCATTTGATTTCCAAATATAATGTGTATTTGTTCTAGCAAGATAGTTTCTTCTACTATTCTCTTTGTTTATTATTATCGTTTTTATAATAAAAATTACTCTTGATTCTTCAAACATTGTCATACTCATTCCAAATTCATTGTAGTCAAAAATTATACAAAACTCTCGTATTTTTGCTATTGAATGTCTATCAATGTCGTCTGTAATAAATGTCATTGACACAGAGGAACTTTGAAGTAGGACTCTCTTTAATATGATTTCTGTTTGATATATTAAAGTTTTGCTTTGAAAATATAAGAGACTAGTGACAGATTTAAATGTTCTGTCAATACAGAAAGCTATTGTTTTAAAGTATTATTAATTCAGCAATATTCAAAAGAAGCTTTTGATGATAATTCTATATAATTAATACATAATAGTGATAGCGTTTATCTATTAATATGATGTATTTTCATCACTTGTGGATCACAGCTAACATTAAATCTATTAGAATCTAAATACGAGGTTGAGTGACAAAATGTATAGTAGAAATTAGTGAGTTAGGTATTATTCTTTTATCCATTAAATTACTTTGTTGGTACTGTTACATCTAAAATGTGAGGATTATTCTTGTTGTTATCAACTTTATTAACTTTGAATGTCTCTTCGAGATATATTTTATCGCATCAAATGAATTGAAATATTTTTGAAAGTGCATTTATTATATATACCTATTATTTGCTATCAGAAATATTGAGTACAGTATAGAATATGTAATTACGTACGGTAATCCATCATTTAACTATAGTCAATGTCAATGTCACAGAACTTAAAGGGGAACCCCTGATTTAGTTTATCAAATCTTCCTAGTATTTACCAAATACGTGACCTCAAAATTTGTTCATTACAAAGTTCTAAGTTATATTAGTACATATAAGTCTATATTAGTATTGAATCTATCATGCCCTTATTTTACATTAGTATTTAATGTGATGAATTCGGCAATATCATTGACTTATCAGACAGATTTTCTGTCTGTCTACATATTAAAAGGAAGTGTTTTGATTTTTATCATCTTGCAATGCTAACATTAGATTTGCTAGTTTATCACTGAACATGATTGAGTAAGGTTGCGTCATGTTATTAAGATTTATTTTATTTAACTATATTTGTTTTGTCGCTGTCGATAGTGAATCGTAAGTGATTATTTCTAAGATTTTACTATCATACTCTTAAGATTAAACTCAATATTTATACCTAAGATGTTTTATTTTATATTTGATGAAATACTAGTTAAGGTCATGCTACTCTGTTCAGTTTCTAATGGAAACCTCAATATTAAATGCTGGTTATTTTAAAGTTGTAATATCTTGTCTAACTATTATTTAGTAAATAATGATTTTTATTATCATCTTTTGTAGAGACTAACCATCAATAACCTCTTAACAGTAAAGTTATTGCTGATGTTTATTACTTTTTTTATATTGTTCGATTATGAAAAATTTTGCTTTCCTATGCCTTAGACAAGCTGCTATTGCTATTACTTATGTGTTTACTTAACACAATGTTACCAAAATCTTAAAGAATCTGCAGTTGTCGCATTTTTAGTAGAAAATTTAATCCTATAATAGTTACAATCTCCATATTTGAGTTTCACGCTGGTTTCAAGGTGTCTCCGTCTTGGAACTTTTCTCAACTGATTAAACGAAACAACTTTTAAACAGTTTCGTCGCATTTGTATTTTTCTTTTATTGAAGTTTCAGAACTATTATTATTAGATTAAGAATAATTTTCAGTGTGGCTTTGCGAATGCAAAATTAATCAAAATATAATAATTAGTTAATTCTCCACTGAAAACAACAACATTACATTATAGATGGATATTCATATTCTTTTTTTTTTTCATTTCAGTCCATTGCACAAGAAGAATCTTTTGATCGACAATGATGCCGGTGGCGATGACGCGATGGCCATATTTTTGGCTTTATTAAATGAAAAACATTTTGATGGGTAATTACTAACACTCAAATTTTAACGTCGTTTTGTCCATATGAATTTTTATTTCTATGGAGCTTTTTAATAAAATCATATTGATTTTAAACATGAATTTATGTACTAGATTCATAAAAGGTCCTACTCAAGAAGATTATAACATAGTCTTGCCATAAATATTGTTAAGTACATAGAAAATCAACATTTTTTTATTGAACGTAACATTTATTACTATTACAGTGTGTTAGTTCAATATTTTTTTGTATTAATATATTATATATATTTATGTATGTATATATATCTTATTTGAAGTGGTCTTCATCGGCAATACAGTATTTTTAAACGTTGAGGCCAGTCATCAAAAGACGCACGCACTCTTTCCATGGATTCTCTCAGGGACTCCAAATCATCATTTATAACAAGTTCTGGCTACAATTGACCATAAATCATAATTCAGAGGCTTAATATCTGGACTAGATGACGGCCAGTCTGGAGCTTTGATCACGTACGTTTCTAACTACAACTGGTTGGATCGAGCTTTATGTCCTAGCGCCGAGTCTAGTTGAAAGGACTTATTAAACATGGTGTTGTTAAGGGTCTTGAGTACCTTCTCGAGAATGATACTTTGAAGCCTTTTTCACAGAAATATGGCTCGGTCACTCCTTCATAGCTAACACCAAGCCAGCAAGTTAAAATAAAAACAAGTTAAAATATTGTTCATATGTGAACATTTTCTCATCCGTAAACACTTTTTTTGTATGTCCTCCCTTTACGTATAGCTTAAGTAGTTATTTTGATGTTGCGGTCCTATTTTTGTCCCTATTTTTGACCAGTATATCTCTTAAAGACGTGCAGTCTCCTAAGTCATAATTTAAAATACACGACATGGTTCTAGATGCATCTCCCGAGGTATTTTATTTTTTTTTGTTTCGTACAGGATTTCTTTGAATTATTTGTAATAACACTATGTGGACAGTAAAAACAAAAATTACAGATTCGTAATTCAAATGTAATATTTTGTTTATTTTTAATTCTAACAGTATTTATGGCCAGGCTAAATATTTCTTGGTTTTACTCGCTTTTGCTCTAAACTTCTTGCTCGTTCTGTATTAGAAAAATAAACATTTGGTGTTACAAAATCTTTATATGTTGTTGTGATTTGTATTTTATTTATTTTTAGACCACACTTGATTGCATTAACTACGGCCAATGGAAACACCTGCGAAAATAACGTTTATGTCAACAATCAGAGGATTCTGAAAGTCGCAAATAGACAGGATGTAAGTTACCTACAGTCGTTAATAAAAAACCGGCCTAGTTAACACCTAATTCAGAGGGAGACAAAAACAATTAAGGTGGTCGTAGTCTGTCTCCACACTCACGCACCAACAGCTGGACACGCAACGGATTGTACGGAATTTCCGATTTGATGCGTCCACGGCATCCGTATTTTTCAAAGATGCTTCTATGAGAAATTCCTTTGTCATCTTTGACATCGGAATTACGTTTACAGTTTTGACATAACGAAGTAAAGTAATGTACAGTAGCACTATGGACGAAATCCGTATGACGTCATCAGCTATTTCAATATTGCGTGTCGGGGGTAAGCCTATAGTGGACGGAGTGCTTTACAAATTCATACAGATAAATGGAAATCCGTTGCGCGTCATACGGCCGCCGGTGCATGCGTGCGTATAATATGGACGTTCACCTTAAGTCTCCCAAGTTGTAACCATCATCCAATCCTACTCCTTAACTTTTCTGTCCTATACAGTGTACATCAACTACAAAAAAGCCCCTTAATATTATCTTTATCTTTTCTTTTATAAAACATTTTATCAAAGATAAATGACGTAAGAATAAGTAAAATTACGTACTTTTTAAAATTTTTAAGAATGATTGCATTATAATTTTGAAAACAACGTGCCTCAAAAGTCTTAAAAAACATTACGATTAAACTTGTCTACTATGTGACATGCAAGTAGCTTCTAATATGAATCTAGTAACAAGAATCTATTTTATATTTCCTGGAAACGTTTTAACTGTAATTTCTTTAATGTTCTTGACATTTATATTATTTTGAACAGCTTTAAAAAAAATGTTCAGTTTTTTCGTAACCTATTCGATGCCAACAAACGTATAAAATTTTCCTGATTATAATATTAGTTTAAATAAACATGATTTCAGGTACCGATTTACAGAGGATCAAATTCATCTCTTGTTGTAACACCGGACGGTGGAGCGTTCTTTGGCCAAGACGGTTTAGGTGATACTGGCGAATATTTAACTGATTTAGTCACAGCTAAACTAAAAACTGCTGTACAAGCTCTCATAGACTTCTCAGTAATGTATAAGGATAAAGGTAATATTATACACTCACTATTATGTAAGAAACTGTGGGTTGTAGTATTGACAACCTAGTGAATTAATTTGAAGAAAATCTTTCCAACTTCCAATTGCTTTGAAGTTTTCTTTATTATTTCTCAATGCACAGTGTATTGTAAGCATAAATAAATTTTCGGCAGTCTAACTCCCTTTTCTATCTGTGTTGAATCCACATTCAGCCGTTAGTTCTAGCTGCGTCTGCAGTTGTTAACACGCATCAATCCGTACAGGTTTTTCGTGGTGGGAACCATGACCCATTTTCCATATTCAATTCCAATACATTTGTAGGAAGGCCTGTGTATTAGCGGTGGGGATATTCTTAACACAAGTGCTTTGGTTACTTTGTTTGGGACCTTTGAAATATAAATAACTAGCTATTGTCTCGCAACTTTTTTCCGCATACATTACAGTCTACATCACTTGCATATGATTTAGCTCCCGTAGATGAATAACTTTTTTAAATAAGTGCAATTATTTCAGAATATATTCTGTCTTCTTAATATTATTTGTATATATGTTGCCTAATATTTTTTGCTATTAATTTTTCAGGTAAATTGACTATAATCACATTAGGTACATTAACTAACGTGGCTTTGGCAATTAAAAGTGATCCACATTTTCTGGACCGACTTGAACATCTTTATGTGGCAGCTGGTCATATTCACGGTAAATATTTAACCAACATGTAACTACAAAGTGATTGCTAAAAATGGGATTACTACCATATGCCTTGTTTCAATTTCCGATATATCGTTGCCGTTTTTAAGGCCATGATCACATGGAGTACGTATATATCGGGAAAAATAAATACATTTTTAGCAATAATTTTCATGATAATAGTCACGTAAGTTTAAAACAACTTGTAGTATCTTTGTTTGATATCTAAAATGACGATCAGTTTGTCATTCTGGAAGATTCTAGATAACTGTTTATTATCGAAGAAGCTACAATATTTCCATTGTCCAGCGAATTCGCCAGCGTAAATTATATCATATAGCACCTTCGATGTTGTATGCCATAAGTGAAAGAATCACGAAGTATTAAAAAAAAACGGTACTAGGAACTATTAAAAAAAAACATATTTTCGAAATCAAACTAGATGTCGCTACGGTACTTTCTTCATTTCTCCATGACAACCCTTCCGGTTTTCTTTCATGTATAAAAGTAAATTAGTTTTCAAAACTCAATAAACAACTCATATTTCATTTGTACTTTTTCGTATTTGTATTTGTATCTAAGTTACGAACTTTGCAAATTTAAATTTTTAATACGTTAGTTAAAAGAGACGGAAATGACCTACCTTTGGTCCATTAGTTTCCAGCAAAAATCAACTTTTGCTAGAGTCGCTATTTAGTGGAGGTGCTTTTTAGTGCTTTCTTTTTTTTAATACTTCCTCATTGCGAAACTCTCCTAACCGTCTGTTCAATGCTAAAATCAACCATTATCTTCTTTCCTCTATATAATATAGCAGTATAAATTAAGTCTGTAAATTTAAACGGGTATCTATTGAGATTTTGCGATTCAATCGAATTTGTGCCAATCATTGAATAAGTGATAATCATCAAAATTTGCCCCCATGTTATTTGGGATTACTACTAGACTTATTTATTCTCAGACAGTTTATCTGCCAGTTGCACAAACGTCCATTAAAATTGACATTAGTTAAAAGCGACATTATAAATATAAATTTGACATTATTATATAAATTAGACCTTAAAAGCGCCATTAAACCTTAATGGAGGTTTGTACAACTGGGCATCTGGTAACTAATACTTATAATGAATAAATTTAAAAATATTTTAGATGAAAACAATACAGAAGCTGAATTCAATTTGCATATGGATGTAGAAGCTTATCACATAGTCGCACAGAACGCAAATCCCGACAAAGTCACTTTCTTTCCATTCTCACAAGTGATGAAGCATTTAAATATATCGAGAGTGAGTATACATATATCATGACAAGCAGTACTATTCAGGGTCGAACTTAAAGTTGAAAATCGCGCTGTCACAACGTTGAGGTTCACAAAACTGAATTCATAAGATATTAATGAGGGTTTATTTGATCAACCTCTGATCTTTAACAGCGCTGTGACTTTTGGAAGAAAAGTATACAGATCAACTCGATAGCGCAGTGTCTAGCGCGCTCGTTCTGCGCTTTTGCAATGGCTGGTCTGCCCTGCGATTCTGTAAAACTTCAAACCCGATTTCGAATCCACTCAGGTGTCCGAATTCACTTCAAAAAGCGGCATCCGCTCAAACTTGAATTGGTAATAATGTTTCGTGAAATAAGTTAAGGGAGTTTCGAAATGATATAGGATTAAAATATCTATGACACGTTTAATCAATCAATTTTGTTTAGTATTTTTATACAAAAAATGGAATCAATAGGATTTTTATACTAAATGACGAGAATTCGGACACCTGAGTGAATTCGAATTCGGGCCTGGATTGTTACAGAATCGCAGGGCTGAGGATTGGTCACCAAAAATTATTTCTCGAGCTGTTTCGTAAGGCAGGTTAAGCCGTTGGTCCCGGCTGTATCTGATGTTGTTAATATCCAATGGGCCCAATCCGGGCCCAAATGGCGCAATATGGGCCCGCGTAGTGGGCCATGGCTCAATCTCCCTTTTCGATTCGACGCCATCCATATAACCCATAGAGGTTAATACCGCTATTAGTAGCGATATTAAAATACCCTATCAAGATAATAATTGTTTGTGACTTTCTCAGGAATGGAGAGAGCAAGTATTCGGTGCCATTGATTCGGACATCGTAAGGGCTCAAAATAAATTTGAGCGGTTCGCGATCGAACAAAGCGACCGTTGGCACGCCCTCGACCCTGCGGCAGTAGCTGTGGCGTTGAATCCAGAACTAGCCACAGAATATAAGTATATAAAGCAAGAAGTTGGACTTTGCGGTAAGATTACTCGAAAATATATCAAGATAAAAAAAATACAAACTTCTCTAATATACCTATATTAGGTATAATACAAAATGTGTTCACCATATTTCTAAGTCTAAAACAAAGAAAAATCTTTTTTGTAATTTTTGAAGTCAATTTTAGTTTATAACAATTATTCGTTAAAACCGATTCACATTTAACAAAAACAACGTATGACATACAAACAGTTGAATTGATAATATTCTCTTTCATTAGAGTACGTTAAATATGAAACATGTTTCATTTAGTAGAACAAATTATCCTAGCGAAAGCTAGTGGCTAGTGAAATCTTGTGTCGAGATTTTTTACGAATGTTTTTACAGTATATTCGTTTTTGATTTCAGGTTCGAAAAGAGGTATAATATCACATAGTTTCGTAGAAAAGAATGAAAGCATGGGGCGACTTATATACTCAGTAGATGAAGAAAAATACAAAAAGTTTTTGATGGATGTATTTTCAGCATAATGTTCAATACAAGAAATATAGTTCTATTTTAATAATCAGATGTTTTGCTTTTTATACCAAAATATATTTTTATTTTCTATGGAAATGTAATGCATAGTTTAGATAAATTGTGTATTTTATTGTTAAATAACTTTAGTATTAAAAGGTAAAAAGTTTTGAAGGCATTTAAGTGTGTGAAAAGAGAAGAAGGTCTTACGACTAACCTCAGATACATGGGCAGTCCATGATAGATTTGAATCCATTGTAATTCCAAGATTTTTTACGGTATCTGTTAACTGGATCTGTGTCCCATCCAAAAGCAGTGGTGGTAAAGATAATGCAGAAATAGAATTAATATTAAACCTGCTACCTATCACAATGGCCTGAGATTTACTCGGGTTAAGCATGAGGCCAAACGATTTTGTCCAAGTACTGATGCGATCCAAATCGTTATTAATAGCTACCAGTGCCGAGTTACAGTCTTCTATTTTAAAGTGTCGATAAAGCTGCAGGTCGTCTGCATAGAGGTGGAAGTTGGAAGATATAATTTTAGTAACCGAGTTAATGAAAATGCAAAATAAGAGAGGTGAGAGAACAGCACCCTGAGGAACACCCGCACCAAAGTCGCACCACTCAGAAGATTTATTATCAAGACGCACACGTTGCGTGCGTCCCCGAAGGTAGGAATCAAACCATGAGACAACAGAAGGAGAGATATTGCAAGAACGAAGAATAGCGAGAAGAATGTCAAAATCAACAGAATTAAAAGCACTGCTGAAGTCTAGAAGAATTAGAACTGTAAGAGCTTTATTCTCCATAGCCCAACGAATATCATATTATTATTTATTATTTACAGTCCTCATCCCCACTAGCTATCATTTTGGTCCTTCGAAAGAAAGTAGCAAAAGAACAATATAAAAATATGACAAATTAATATAAAACGGTGGCGCTTTCCAGCCAGTCGCCTACAAATAGTATAGATATAAATAGAATATAGACAACTGTACATACTTTATTTTTATTACAGGTGATTACAAAGGAATTAATACTAATAAATTTGTAGAAAAAGAAGAGGCAAATGTGAGAGTTATTTATTCATTCAACGATGAAGACTACCGACAGTACTTAATAGACCTCATGAGTCGTGGCGCATAAATAAATAATCGTATTATGAAAACGCACTTTCATTTATATTTTAAAATTGTACAATTTTCATTGAAAGGGTTTTTTTTAAATTATTTATTTAATTTAGGTTAACATTTGAGATCCATCTGAACTGTTGATAAGCAAGATGTGGTATACCAACAAGACAGATAAAACAGAAGATAAAAAAATGTAAAAGAGGTTATAGTCAAATGGAATTAAATGGCATAAAAAAAGCGTTCAATGTCAAAAACTATTTTTTAGTATTAATTAATTTAGACTGCATAAATATTTTGTTTATCTCTTGTACGCATCATCATCATCAGCTCTTTTACGGTCCCACTACAGGGGCTCAGGCCTTCCTTTTGGATGGTTAAGGAGAATGGGTTACGACTTTGGCCCAATGCAGATTGGAGGGTATTGACTACTGCAAATGTAGTCGGGATCAACGTCTTAACGTTTCTTCCGAAGTACGGAGTAGCCCGAAATAAAAATTTTTGGTCACCCATCCCGTGACAGACCGTTGCGAAAATTGCTTAGCTACTATCGCGGACCGCTGCGTTTACCTACAACTCCACCGAGCTACTTCTGTACTAACAAATTAAATACAATCCGTATAGTAAATGTTCGACACAAACCCCATAGACTGCCATAGATTCATGATGTAAGCCGTACTTAGATGTAAATGAACGTTGACTCCTGTGATGGAATTTGTCTGGTGAAACCAAAATATCATTGGATCAAACGAAATCGTAGAGTTCCTTTGCAAACTCAACAAATCTTAAGAATTACTGGTAGAACAAAAACCCTACCCTTTATTAATTGATTATTAATTAATTGATTAATTATATTTGATAGTGGAATAGAAACACTATTACAGTTACAGTGAAAATCATAAAGGAGCTCAAATTCAAATCAATATTAATCGACCGGTAACAAAGAAAAGAGTCATATTTCAAAGTAGAAATTATAAGCCAGGATTATCTTTTCATAATGACAAAGCTTTCTATGCAATATCAATAAAATATTATAATAAAAAACTTAATATTTGTCTTATTACATTTTAACACATTTTAATTTGGCTAAACCCTTTAAAAAAAATCTCTCTACTGCACAACAAAAACAACATTGCGTGCAACATTAAAATTTGTCCTTTAGCGCAACTATATTAATCTGGTATCTCTAGATAATCATATGATAAGGTCACCTATTTTCATACTTACAATACAGCGAGAGTTATATATGAGAAATATTATTTTATCGACACTCCATACTAAGACGCTATCTTAAATTAACTACCGACCGTCATGTTTATATAATAGAAGTCAAATTGAATCGGCAATATGATTGCTAGACTCTATCTCTTTCATTTGCGAAATCCGTTAGATAAGGATGACAAGAGTCCCTTCCGCCAATGTGACATATGCGTCAGAGTTCGTGCGGTAGAGTCATTTTGCATTATCTGTACTACAATAACCTTTTGTTTACAAAACAGCTGTTGTGAAATGTCATTTTTATTTTTGGTTTAAGACTTAAATCATTCTTTTCATAATTAAGTATGTTGAATTGAAGTTCTATGTTTCAGTATATTTATAAATTGTTGTGTTATTGTTAGATTTTGATGTTCTTAAATATGCTTTGTGGAAGGTAAGTAATACTGATCTCTTCATTTGATTTCCAAATATAATGTGTATTTGTTCTAGCAAGATAGTTTCTTCTACTATTCTCTTTGTTTATTATTATCGTTTTTATAATAAAAATTACTCTTGATTCTTCAAACATTGTCATACTCATTCCAAATTCATTGTAGTCAAAAATTATACAAAACTCTCGTATTTTTGCTATTGAATGTCTATCAATGTCGTCTGTAATAAATGTCATTGACACAGAGGAACTTTGAAGTAGGACTCTCTTTAATATGATTTCTGTTTGATATATTAAAGTTTTGCTTTGAAAATATAAGAGACTAGTGACAGATTTAAATGTTCTGTCAATACAGAAAGCTATTGTTTTAAAGTATTATTAATTCGGCAATATTCAAAAGAAGCTTTTGATGATAATTCTATATAATTAATACATAATAGTGATAGCGTTTATCTATTAATATGATGTGTTTTCATCTTCACTTGTGGATCACAGCTAACATTAAATCTATTAGAATCTAAATACGAGGTTGAGTGACAAAATGTATAGAAGAAATTAGTGAGTTAGGTATTATTCTTTTATCCATTAAATTACTTTGTTGGTACTGTTACATCTAAAATGTGAGGATTATTCTTGTTGTTATCAACTTTATTAACTTTGAATGTCTCTTCGAGATATATTTTATCGCATCAAATGAATTGAAATATTTTTGAAAGTGCATTTATTATATATACCTATTATTTGCTATCAGAAATATTGAGTACAGTATAGAATATGTAATTACGTACGGTAATCCATCATTTAACTATAGTCAATGTCAATGTCACAGAACTTAAAGGGGAACCCCTGATTTAGTTTATCAAATCTTCCTAGTATTTACCAAATACGTGACCTCAAAATTTGTTCATTACAAAGTTCTAAGTTATATTAGTACATATAAGTCTATATTAGTATTGAATCTATCATGCCCTTATTTTACATTAGTATTTAATGTGATGAATTCGACAATATCATTGACTTATCAGACAGATTTTCTGTCTGTCTACATATTAAAAGGAAGTGTTTTGATTTTTATCATCTTGCACTGCCAACATTAGATTTGCTAGTTTATCACTGAACGTGATTGAGTAAGGTTGCATCATGTTATTAAGATTTATTTTATTTTACTATATTTGTTTTGTCGCTGCCGATAGTGAATCGTAAGTGATTATTTCTAAGATTTTACTATCATACTCTTAAGATTAAACTCAATATTTATACCTAAGATGTTTTATTTTATATTTGATGAAATACTAGTTAAGGTCATGCTACTCTGTTCAGTTTCTAATGGAAACCTCAATATTAAATGCTGGTTATTTTAAAGTTGTAATATCTTGTCTAACTATTATTTAGTAAATAATGATTTTTATTATCATCTTTTGTAGAGACTAACCATCAATAACCTCTTAACAGTAAAGTTATTGCTGATGTTTATTACTTTTTTTATATTGTTCGATTATGAAAAATTTTGCTTTCCTATGCCTTAGACAAGCTGCTATTGCTATTACTTATGTGTTTACTTAACACAATGTTACCAAAATCTTAAAGAATCTGCAGTTGTCGCATTTTTAGTAGAAAATTTAATCCTAAAATAGTAACAATCTCCATATTTGAGTTTCACGCTGGTTTCAAGGTGTCTTTAAACTTTTCTCAACTGATTAAACGAAACAACTTTTAAACGGTTTCGTCGCTTTTGTATTATTCTTTTATTGAAGTTTCAGAACCTTTACAGCAGGGGTTGTTTAGACCCAAGATCGACTTTTCACTACCGAAACCCAGTACGATCTACCAATTACTTTACTTACCTTTTAAAACTTAAATGAAACAGCAGATTTTTATTTTATTTATAATTTTTGAATTGCCACGATCGCCTGGACTAATAGTCGCGATATACAGGTTGGCCACCCATGCTTTACAGGAATGTGTCGCATAATATTGTTTTGAAGGTTAAACTTTTAATTAAAAAGACAATCAAAACTTGGTCTTATGTGAACGTGTAAAGGGGCCGAACCGTTTGTAAAAGAAAAAATATAAACGTGAAGTTCATTTATAGATAGTGCGAGTGAAATATGAGAAATCAATATAAAAAAATGTTTTTTTTTTCCATATTGCTCGGGTCAGATGTAATGGCTTCGATTAAGATACTTATTTAGCTAATCACCTTGAAATCAGAACTAATAAAAAAAACGTACTTTTACGAAAGCGGGGAGTTCACTAGACAGGCATGCCTGCGGATATGTCTGCAGACATGCCTGCCGGACCTTATTCAGCGGACATGTCTGGCTAGACCGTCGGAGTCATTACGCAGACGACGACAAACTAGGTCTAGGAGGTGTGGCTGCAGAATGTCCGCGGGCATGCATGTCTAGTAAATTCTCCTTAATACAAAATGCTTGAAAGATTCGTCAGTCCTGTTAGGTCCTGGATAGCTCAGCGGTTAGAGCAGTCACCCGGATTGCTAAAGGTCGTGGGTTCGATTACCATCTCAGGGTGCCAGGGACCAAGTGGATTTTTTAAGCAATTTGTATTAAGAATAATTTTTAGGTTGGCATTGTGAATGCAAAATATAATAATTATTAAATTCTCCACTGAAAACAACAACATTACATTATATTTGGATATTCATTTTGTGTTTTTTTTTTCATTTCAGTCCATTGCACAAGAAGAATCTTTTGATCGACAATGATGCCGGTGGCGACGACGCAATGGCCATATTTTTGGCTTTATTAAATGAAAAACATTTTGATGGGTAATTACTAACACTCAAATTTTAACGTCGTTTCGTCCATATGAATTTTTATTTCTATGGAGCTTTTTAATAAAATCATATTGATTTTAAACATGAATTTATGTACTAGATTTATAAAAGGTCCTACTCAAGAAGATTATACATAGTCTTGCCATAAATATTGTTAAGTACATAGAAAATCAACATTTTTTTATTGAACGTAACATTTATTAGGGTAAGGATGCCGAATATGAGATACCATTTTTATTTTTGGCTATAAAACATAAATTATTGCACTAATCATTATGAAAATTGCAATATTTGATAGGGTATTTAATGAAGTTTATTTATGAAAGACCGTTCAGTTCTGAGTATAATAAATTTTTTATTATATCAAAAAATATTAAGAAGTTCAGAAATTACGTCTCGGGCAAATGGTCTCCTATTATGAGATACTGAGGGTTGCTTATATGAGACAGTATCTCATATTAGGTTCTTTAGGGTTTGAGTATAGATTTAGAGAAAAAGGAAAGAAATTAATTTGAATTAAACTTTTTATTGGCTATATTCTCTCATTAACAACATCATACTCCTAAATAAATAGGTCTGAGTACTACTTAATATATGTATGTAACGTACATAGTTATAATTGATATTAAACTTATCATAATAATAAGGATAATACGGCGGTAGACAAAAACAAGTAACATCTCTTCCCTCTAAAATAATTTTTAAAATTAATAACCTTATAATAATCTGTGTAAATTATCTTTTAATTAAAAGAGTAACTTACATGTTTTTATATATTGTGTGGGCAACATTCTCTGATGAGTATTTAACTGTTTAAACTACACTATCCTGTCGCAACACCAGTTCTCACTATAAAACATTAACACTTCATCGCTGTGCAAGATAAAACTTGAAGTCATGGCTAACGTTGCTGCTGTTCTTGAAACTCAGAAGTCTCTAGAAACAATGTTGATGAGGAGAATGACTGATCTGGAGGCTCAGCTACACACTAAAACGACATCTCCCAAAGAAGACAAAGACAAGTTAACTCTGTTTCAAGAAGAATTCAACAGCTTTAAAGTTCTTGTGATTAGCATCTTCAAGTTGCTCCGACAACAGATCAGTGAAATACTGAAGGCCGTCGATACAATGGAAACAAGACAGCGTCAGAAATGTCTTCTGTTTAGTGGAGTGCCGGAGAAGTCTGAAGAGAACCTATCGGTAACTGTTGTCACTCTATTTCAGAGGCATTTGGGATTGACTGATGTCTCCAATAATTGTGTTAAAACCAGCTACAGGCTAGGCCGCTTCATTGAAGGACGTACACGACCAATAGTTGTCCAATTTTCTAACATCACTAGCCGGTCATTAGTGTGGAAAAATAAAACCAAATTCAAGGGATCGTCATTGGTGTTACATGAGTTCCTAACTAAAGAACGGCAGGCTGCTTTCAAAACTGCAAGGGACCACTTTGGTGTTAATAAGGTATGGACTTCTAATGGAACAGTCTGTATTTCAACTCCAGACAACAGTGTTGTGCGGCTTATTTCATTGGACGAGTTGAACAAGGTAATCACAAAGTTTCCCAGAACATCGCCTGTGGCCGGAGCATTAGATGTGGAGCCTTCTCAGATACTTAAGCCAGTTCAGACCAGAGCTAAGCGAGTTAACAAAAATGTTAAGTAATTACTGCGCTTTACTGACTAGGTTGTCTTTCCATCACTTAAGTATAATGTATAGTGGTGCTTTGATGCTGCTACTCATAATTTTGCACTTTGTTTCTGTAATGTTATATAATTTTAGAAGGTATCTTGCTATTTTTGAATGTTTCTTTTCTTAAATTTTGTTAATCCGAACACCCACAACTATTATTAGATTTGTTTTGACATTTGACAGTTGTTGTCATTGTACTTAGTTGTCAATAGAGTCAAAGGGATACAGCCCATACAGTTTAGTTTTACATTTTTATTTTTTTGTCATTTCTTTTTACTATGAAATGTGTTATGTTTTTTTTTTTTGTAAACCAGTAACAGACAGGATGTGTGAATGTCCGTGTAATTTTTAAGGCGTCGGTTATGTGTTAGCTTAGTTGATATTTTTTTTTAAATATTATTGTCTATTTATCTTTTATATATATTATTTGTATAAAATGTCGGATTCGGAAGACTATGCATCAGCTAGTGACCATTCCTCTTATCATTCTCTAGACATTTCTGTGGATGACTCATTAGATCTTAAGGCTTCTCTTACTGCTAAATTCAAATGCTACCCTGATACTTTTAACGTCTGTCATATTAACGCTCAAAGCATCCCACGTCATTATAACGACCTTCTTCATACTTTTTCATCAGATAACCTGATTCATGCCATATTGGTGTCGGAGAGTTGGCTCAAGCCGTGTCTAAGTACCTCGTCATATGATCTTCCTGGCTATATTCTAATTCGTAACGATCGCATTGGCAAGGGTGGCGGAGGGGTGGCCATCTATTTATCCAATACTCTCCCTTTCAAACTTTTGGCCTCTTCCGCCTCCCGCCAAGGTTGCATGGAATATATATTTCTGGAGGTTAATGTTATGAATGTCAAGATCGTTTTGGGAGTGATTTATTGCCCACCAACTATAAATTTCTTTTCTGACTTAGAGTGTCTCCTCAACTCAGTAGCAACCGATTTCTCTCACCATATTATAATGGGCGATTTTAATACAGACCTTTTAAAGCATTCTGCTCAATCTAATAAGTTTCGTTCCATATTCGAATCTGTGAATCTTTCGTTACTACCTCTTGATGCTACTCATCACAATCTCACTTCTCCTGACTCGTGGATTGATCACATTGCTACTTCTTCTCCTGCACTGGTTTCCAATCATGGTCAACTTTTGGCGCCTGGCTTCTCCAGACATGATCTTCTTTTTCTTGCTTATAAAGCCAAACCCCCTAAACCAAAACCTCTATTCGTACGAATGCGTAACTTTGCTAGGCTGGATGTGCAGAAACTAAGGATCGATGCATGCGCTGCTGACTGGTCACCCATCCGTGAAGCTCCATCTGTGGACGCCATGGTGGATCATTTTAACAGTCTCATACTAGATCTTTTTGAAAAGCATGCACCTAAAAAACGAGTCAAATTGAAGAGGCCGCCTGCTCCTTGGATCACTACTGGTGTACGTATGGCGATGAGGAGACGCAATAAATCTTTTCATATTTTCAAAAGATGTCGTACCGATGATAACTGGAATGCATTTAAAACTGCAAGAAATCGTTGTAATAGTATGGTAAGAAGTGCCAAACGCCAATACTTTCACTCCAATATATTAAATTCCAATCTTGCTAATACTTGGAAATTTCTCCGCACTTTGGGTTTCGGTAAATCTACTGTACAGAAGAATCCATCTCTTCCGTTAAATGATCTTAACAAGCATTTTTCTTCGGTTTGTTCTCTATCTCAAACTATAACTTCTTCCACTGTCACCACCCTTACGTCCGAGGCTGCTTCTATTGATGAACCATTCTCTTTCACTCCGCTCTCTGAAGAGGACATTCGTAAAATCGTTATGTCTATTAAATCTAACGCCGTGGGTTATGACGATATCGGACGAAAGATGATTAATCCCATTCTTGATTGTATTCTATCTGTCCTCACCTTCATCTTAAACTATTCTCTTTCTTCCGGTGTGTTTCCTATGTCTTGGAAAAAGGCATTCACGATACCACTTCCTAAAATCCATAATCCTACAGTTCCCAACCACTTTCGACCGATCTCCATATTGCCATTTCTTTCTAAAATCTTAGAAGCAGCCGTTCACAAGCAACTTTCTACTTTCATTTTTCGTAATAACGTTTTAAGTCCTTTTCAGTCTGGTTTTCGACCTGGTCATAGTACCACCACTGCCCTTCTTAACGTTTTGGAAGATATACGCGAAGGGATGGACAATTCAAAATTAACGGTTATGGTTTTGATTGATTTTTCGAATGCTTTCAATACGGTCAATTATGATATTCTGCTTGCTATCCTTTCACAATCGGGTCTCTCTTCTTCTGCTACGGCATGGTTTTCATCTTATCTTCGTGGACGACAGCAGGCGGTTCGGGCTGATCAGATTATATCTGACTGGTGCGATTTGACTGCTGGCGTACCTCAAGGCGGTATTCTCTCTCCTCTCCTCTTTTCTCTATTTATTAATTCTCTTACCACTCAATTTCATTCTTCTTGCCATCTTTACGCGGACGATCTTCAGCTTTATACTCAAGCTGACAAAAGCAAGCTAAATGACGCAGTTGCTGCTATAAATCAGGATCTCCTTAATATCTTAGAGTGGTCCAAGGCTTATGGTATTGCCGTCAACACAGCTAAGTGCCAAGCTATTATTATTGGCAGTTCTAGACAGTTGGCTCTAATTGATCTCAATACGGTTAGTCGCTTAATTTACGATGGTGAAATCATTCCATTTCAGCCAGTGGTTAAAAACTTAGGTTTGCTTATCGACTGCACACTTAGTTGGGACGGCCAGGTTAATGAAGTGTGTCGCAAGGTGATCAACACGCTCAGGTCTCTCTATAGACTTAAATTTTTTCTCCCTTTCAGTACCAAAGTTGCGCTCGTACAGGCTCTCGTTCTTCCTATTCTGGACTACGCTGATGTCTGCTATTCTGACACCAATCAGATTCTCCTTGATAAATTGGATCGTTTGCTCAACAGTGGTATAAGGTTCATCTTTGGATTACGTAAGTTCGACCATATTTCTCAGTATAGAAACCAACTCGAATGGTTGCCTATTCGTAAGCGCAGGAATCTTAGAGTTGTTTCCACTCTTTACAACATCCTATACGATCCACGTACTCCGAGATATCTAAAATCAAGATTCCAGTTTTTGGGTGCTTGTCATCAGCGAGAACTTCGCTCTAGTAGTAATATTACTCTTCAAACCCCTGTTCATCAAACCAGCTTTATGTCAAACTCCTTTACTGTAACTTCTACTCGCCTCTGGAATGCTTTGCCAGAAGACATTCGGAAGGCCAAAAGCAAAAGTGTGTTCAAAAGACTAGCGCATGAACACTATTTAAATAGTCCTTAGTTTTTCATGAATCCGATATTATGTAGTATATATGTTATATGTAGTATATATGTATATATGTTATTGTATATATTTATAATATACGTATATATCAATATTTATTTATGCATAAATCTATTTGTTTATTATTTTATGTATAACTGTTTTTTGTTTTTTTTTTGTTTAGTACTTACTTCTACTTTCTTTATCGCCATACATCTTGCTTCCTACTTTCTGTCTGGTAGACTGGTAGAGAATGCCCTTGGCATTAAGTCCGCCATTTGGTATTCCATGCAATAAAGATTAAATAAATAAATAAATAAATAAATAATCACGGCGATTTTCAAATGGCACTTATTAAACAGTATCAAAAACAAAAGTATTATGCTAAATCTTAGATATGATTTATGTTAGACTCATCATAATCACAGAGATTTTCAAATCATACTTATTAAATAATATTATTAATCAACAAAAGTCAAAACTTTTATTCTCATTCTTAGATATTTAAACACAAATAACACAAAAATCGATCTGTGGTTACATCTCCACAATCCTCATGACTCCACTTTAAACAGCCTTGACATTTAGCCCATTTTTCTCCTCTCTTGTCTTCTGAAAACTTTCCGCTGCAGTATGGACATTCAGCGTCTTACCTGATCTTGCAAATAGCAGCAGTGATGATGAATCATGATCATCACTGCTGCTATCTGCAAGGTCAGGTAAGACTTCATCCACTTCATCCTCAGAGCTAGAACTAATAGGTTCTTTAATATCCAAATACGAGATATCTCATTTTAGGAGCCCTCGCATGTCTCATATTAGGAAAACATCTACATTCAATAAAATGGATGCACATCATTTCTCAGTAAAGAAAATGCAATAAAACTGCATATGTATCATAAAATTCATGATATAATTGATAGAATGACGGTAAATTAAAATCATTCAGTGTAATTAATACTGTTGTAGTTTACCTTGTAAATATTTGATGAGAAAAATTTGGTTTTGGGGTTTCGTGAAAACCCACGTGTCCACAACCTAACTTCGCCTTGGACTGGGAAGCACTAACACACGTTTTGATCTTTTGCCACGTGGCTTCTAGCGACAGTAGCGCCAAATGACTGCGGCGATTAGTTTCGCCAAAACCTAACTATCTCATATTTGGCGACTATCTCATATTCGGCATCCTTACCCTACTATTACAGTGTGTTAGTTCAATATATTTTTTTTATTAATATATTATATATATTTATGTATGTATATATAGCTTATTTGAAGTGGTCTTCATCGGCAAAACAGTATTTTTAAACGTTGAGGCCAGTCATCAAAAGACGCACGCACTCTTTCCATGGATTCTCTCAGGGACTCCAAATCATCATTTATAATAAGTTCTGGCTACAATTGACCATAAATCGTAATTCAGAGGCTTAATATCTGGACTAGATGACGGCCAGTCTGGAGCTTTGATGACGTACGTTTCTAACTACAACTGGGTGGATCGACCTTTATGGCCTAGCGCCGAATCTTGTTGAAAGGACTTATTAAACATGGTGTTGTTAAGGGTCTTAACTACCTTCTCGAGAATGATACTTTGAAGCCTTTTTCACAGAAATATGGCTCCGGTCACTCCTTCATAGCTAACACCAAGCCATCATTGAAGTCGGATAATGCCAACGTTGTACTCGGTTGACTAATTGTGAAGTTTCTTTAAAGCTTCGAGCTTTGCGAAATACAGTCATTTTGTTTGTTAAAATATTGTTCATATGTAAACATTTTCTCAAACGTAAACACTTTTATTCCATGTCCTCCCTTTACGTATAGCTTAAGTAGTTATTTTGATTTTGCGGCCCTATTTTTGTCCCTATTTTCGACCAGTACATCTCTTAAAGACTGCACGTCCTAAGTCATAATTTAAAATACACGACATGGTTCTAGTTGCATCTCCCGAAATTTTTTTTTTTTTGCTTTCGTACAGGATTTCCTTGAATTATTTGTAATATCACTATGTGGACAGTAATAACAAAAATTACAGATTCGTAATTCAAATGTAATATTTTGTTTATTTTTAATTCTAACAGTATTTATGGTCAGGCTAAATATTTCTCAGTTTTACTCGCTTTTGCTCAAAACTTCTTGCTCGTTCTGTATTAGAAATAAAGAAACATTTGGTGTTACATAATCTTTATATGTTGTTGTGATTTGTATTTCATTTATTTTTAGACCACACTTGATTGCATTAACTACGGCTAATGGAAACACCTGCGAAAATAACGTTTATGTCAACAATCAGAGGATTCTGAAAGTCGCAAATAGGCAGGATGTAAGTCCACTACAGTTATTAATAAAAAACCGGCCTAGTTAACACCTAATTCAGAGGGAGACAAAAACAATTAAGGTGGTCGTAGTCCGTCTCCACACGAACACACACTAACAGCTCGACACGCAACGGATTGTACGGAATTTCCGATTTGATGCGTCCACGGCATCCGTATTTTTCAAAGATACTTCTACGAGAAATCCCTTTGTCATCTTTGACATCGGAATTACGTTTACAGTTTTGACATAACGAAGTAAAGTAATGTACAGTAGCACTATGGACGAAATCCGTATGACGTCATCAGCTATTTCAATATATGTTACTGCGTGTCGGGGGTAAGCCTATAGTGCACGGAGTGCTATACAAATTCATACAGATAAATGGAAATGGAAAAATGGAGTGCGGTCGCCGGTGCATGCGTGCGTATAATATGGACGTTCACCTTAAGTCTCCCAAGTTGTAACCATCATCCAATCCTACTCCTTAACTTTTCTGTCCTATACAGTGTACATCAACTACAAAAAAGCCCCTTAATATTATCTTTATCTTTTCTTTTATAAAACATTTTATCAAAGATAAATGACGTAAGAATAAGTAAAATTACGTACTTTTTAAAATTTTTAAGAATGATTGCATTATAATTTTGAGAACAACGTGCCTCAAAAGTCTTAAAAAACATTACGATTAAACTTGTCTACTATGTGACATGCAAGTAGCTTCTAATATGAATCTAGTAACAAGAATCTATTTTATATTTCCTGGAAACTTTTTGACTGTAATTTCTTTGACATTTATATTATTTTGAATAGCTTTAAAAAAATGATCAGTTTTTTCCGAACCTATTCGATGTCAACAAACGTGTTAAATTTTTCTTATTATAATATTAGTTTAAATAAACATGATTTCAGGTACCGATTTACAGAGGATCAAATTCATCTCTTGTTGTAACACCGGACGGTGGAGCGTTCTTTGGCCAAGACGGTTTAGGTGATACTGGCGAATATTTAACTGATTTAGTCACAGCTAAACTAAAAACTGCTGTACAAGCTCTCATAGACTTCTCAGTAATGTATAAGGATAAAGGTAATATTATACACTCACTATTATGTAAGAAACTGTGGGTTGTAGTATTGACAACCTAGTGAATTAATTTGAAGAAAATCTTTCCAACTTCCAATTGCTTTGAAGTTTTCTTTATTATTTCTCAATGCACAGTGTATTGTAAGCATAAATAAATTTTCGGCAGTCTAACTCCCTTTTCTATCTGTGTTGAATCCACATTCAGCCGTTAGTTCTAGCTGCGTCTGCAGTTGTTAACACGCATCAATCCGTACAGGTTTTTCGTGGTGGGAACCATGACCCATTTTCCATATTCAATTCCAATACATTTGTAGGAAGGCCTGTGTATTATCCGTGGGGATATTCTTAACACAAGTGCTTTTGTTACTTTAGGACCTTGAAGTATAAATAACCAGTTATTGTCTCGCGACTTTTTCCGCATAAATTATAGTTTATATCACTTGCATATGATTTAGCTCCCGTAGGTGAATAACTTTTTTAAATAAGTGCAATTATTTCGGAATATATTCTGTCTTCTTAATAATATTTCTATATATGATGCCTAATATTTTATGCTATTAATTTTTCAGGTAAATTGACTATAATCACATTAGGTACATTAACTAACGTGGCTTTGGCAATAAAAAGTGACCCACATTTTCTGGACCGACTTGAACATCTTTATGTTGCAGCTGGTCATATTCACGGTAAATATTTAACCAACATGAAACTACAAAATAATTGCTAAAAATACCATTACTACAGTGTACCTTGTTATATTACCCGATATTTCGGCGCTGTTTTTAAGGCCATGATCACACGGAGTACGTATATATCGGGAAAAATCAATAAATTTTTAGCAATCATTTTCATGATAATAGTCACGTAAGTTTAAAACAACTTGAAGTATCTTTGTTTGATATCTAAAATGACGATCAGTTTGTAATTTTGGAAGATTCTAGATAACTGTTTCTTATTGAGGAAGTTACAAGATTAATATTTTATAATAGTTATTTTCCAGCGATTTTGACAACGTAAATTATATCATATGGCACCTTCGATGTTGTATGCCTTAAATAAAAGAATCAAGAAGTATTAAAAAAAGAAACGGTACTAGGAACTATAAAAAAAAACTATTTTTCAAAATCAAACTAGATGTCGCTACGGTACTTTTTTGATTTCTTTTTGAAAAGTAAATTAGTTTTCAAAACTCAATAAAACAACTCATATTGAATTTGTACCTTTTCGTATTTTTATTGATATCTAAATTTCCAACTTCGCCAATTTCAGTTTTTTAATATGTTAGTTAAAAGAAACGGAAATGACTTTGGATTTCGGAATGAAAAATATTTGGTCCATTAGTTTCATGCAAAAATCAACTTTTGCTAGAGTCACCATCTAGTGGAGGTGCTTTTCTAACCGTCTATTCAATGCTAAAAACATCCATATCTTCTTTCCTCTTTATAATATATCAGTATAAATTAAGTCTGTAAATTTTAACGGGTATCGATTGAGATTTCGCGATTCAATCGAATTTGTGAATTGTAGTCAATCATTCAATAAGTGATAATCATCAAAATTTGCCCCCATGTTATTTGGGATTACTACTAGACTTAGTTATTCTCAGACAGTTTATCTGCCAGTTGCACAAACGTCCATTCAAATTGAAATTATTTTAAAGTGACATTATAAATATAAATTTGACATTCATTAGACCTTAAAAGCGCCATTAAATCTTAATGATTTCGTGCAACTGAACGTAAATGTATCTGTGTTCTCAGACAAGATTATTTAAAATGATCTGCCCGTTGTAAAAACCTCAATTAAAATAGTCATTAGTTAAAGCGACCTTACCGTTACAAATCAGAAACATTCATTAGAGCTTAAATTCGTCATTAAACCTTAATGGAAATTTGTGCAACTGGGCGTCTGGTAACTAATACTTATAATGAATAAATTTAAAAATATTTTAGATGAAAACAATACAGAAGCTGAATTCAATTTGCATATGGATGTAGAAGCTTATCACATAGTCGCACAGAACGCAAATCCCGACAAAGTCACTTTCTTTCCGTTCTCACAAGTGATGAAGCATTTAAATATATCGAGAGTGAGTATACATATATCATGACAAACGGTACTATTCAGGGTCGAACTTAAAGTTGAAAACTGCGATCTCACAACGTTGAGATTGACAAAACATAATTCATAAAGTAATGAATGAGGGTTTATTTGATCGAACCTCTGATCTTTAACAGCGCTGTGTCCCTTTTTTTGAAGAAAAATATCCAGACAGAAATGTATGAGCGACGAGGAGCTTGATAGCGCAGTATCTAGCGCGTTAGGTCTACTATTTTGCAATGGCCGACCTGAGGATGGGTCACCAAAAATTTAAATTTCTAGAAGCCGTTGGTCCCGGCTGCATCTGATGTTGTTTATATCCCATGGGCCCAATCTGCACTGGGTTCGCGCCATGTTCCCTATTCGATTCGACTCTATCCATATAACTCCTATTAGCGTTATTAAAATACCCTATTAAGATAATAATTGTTTGTGACTTTCTTAGGAATGGAGAGAGCAAGTATTCGGTGCCATCGATTCGGACATCGTAAGGGCTCAAAATAAATTTGAGCGGTACGCGATCGAGCAAAGCGACCGTTGGCACGCGCTCGACCCTGCGGCAGTAGCTGTGGCGTTGAATCCAGAACTAGTCACAGAATATAAGTATATTAAGCAAGAAGTTGGACTTTGCGGTAAGATTACTCTAAAATATATCAAGCTAAAAAAAATACAAACTTCTCTAATATACCTATATTAGGTATAATACAAAATGTGTTCACCATATTTCTAAGTCTTAAATAGAGAAAAATCTTCTTTTTTGTAATTTTTGAAGTCAATTTAAGTTTATAACAATTATTAGTTAAAACCGATTCACTATTAACAAAAACAACGTGTGACATACAAACAGTTGAATTGATAATATTCTCTTTCATTAGAGTACGTTAAATATGAAACATGTTTCATTTAGTAGAACAAATTATCCTAGCAAAAGCTAGTGGCTAGTGAGATCTTGTGTCGAGATTTTTTACGGATGTTTTTACAGTGTATTCGTTTTGATTTCAGGTTCGAAGAGAGGTATAATATCACATAGTTTCGTAGAAAAGAATGAAAGCATGGGGCGACTTATATACTCAGTAGATGAAGAAAAATACAAAAAGTTTTTGATGGATGTATTTTCAGCATAATGTTCAATACAAGAAATATAGTTCTATTTTAATAATCAGATGTTTTGCTTTTTATACCAAAATATATTTTTATTTTCTATGCAAATGTAATGCATAGTTTAGATTAATTGTGTATTTTATTGTTAAATAACTTCAATGTGTATAAACGAATTATATTACAAAACACCTGCAACAATAAAATTTGATATTAGGTATGATGGCGTATATACAAAATAGCTCCATCTATCAAATTGTACGTACACTTCGCATTATAAATTACCATCGCAGTAAACGAAGGAGTATTTTGTTCTTGTTTGATGATAGTCTTTGGACATAGATGTCGCTTATTTGATTCAATTATTTATTTAAGTGCATGCATTATATAAACGCGGGATGAATCCTAAGACTACAGGTTAAGAATTACTTAGTATACCTAAATCAAGAGCCTGTGCACACTATGTTTTTAGGGTTCCGCACCCAAAGGGTAAAACGGGAGCCCTATTATTCAGACTCCTCTGTCTATCTGTCCAGGCTCTATCTCATGAACCGTGAAAGTTAGACAGCTTAAAACTATAGTTAAATAAATATTTAAGGGAACTGCCATACTACAAACGCGTTTTTTGCTCGATATTGATAAAGAAAACGGGTAGACGCTTGAAATATAATTACAGCATATGTATTTATATAGTAACTTTAAAAATAAGTAATTTAATAAAAAATAAACAAATATTTAAGGGGGGCTCCCATACAACAAACGTGTTTTTTTTCTAGTTTCCGATAAGGAACCCTTCGTGTGCGAGTCTGACACCCTATGCCGGTTTTTTACACGCGCTGTCGACGTTCATTTTAAAATTACATTGCCCCATCGTCACCGGGAGTTCTAGCAACTGACCTCGCACTGGCAACGGATTGATAGTACTTCAATATACTGAAATATCAGCTTCAGAAAACTAGTGCACTTTTAAGTCACATCTCTTAGATTATGGTGATACAGACGCATAAGTATATGTAACATACTAACACAACGAATCTTTCCACCGTCTGCACCGAACTTTTGAGATGTTTATATGGATGGCACGAATGGGCCGGCTCGACCGGAGTGATACCACGGCCTCACAGAAAACCGACGTGAAGCAACGCTTGCGTTGTGTTTCGTCGTGTGAGTGAGGGTACCGGAGGCCCAACCCCTCCTTATTCCCTTCCCTCTACCCCTCAACCCTTCCCTCCAAGGCCGGCAGCGCGCTTGTAGCCTCTCTGGTGTTACAGGTGTCCATGGGCGACGGTAATCACTTACCATCAGGTGATCCGTCTGCTCGTCTGCGCCCTATTCCATAAAAAAAAAGCTACATACCCCGTGGACAGTCCGAGTCTTACATGTGAGTTGCAAAATAAAATCAGACGTCGACCTAAGCCGACCAAATCAACCCATCAGTTAATTACTAAGCCGCTGCAAAGAAAAATACAGACGTTAAGTTAATTTACTACCGATTTTTTATAATATAATTAAACTATAGCTACAGTGGATTGTTGAGTGGATAAGCCAAGCAAAAAGTTTGAATTATAAGAGTATCATCATCAGCCCATCATCAGCCCCGGTAACGACTACAAATGCAGCCGGGACCAACGGCTTAACGTGACTTCCGAAGCACGGAGTAGGTCGAGATAATTTTTTTTTTGGTCACCTATCTCGTGACCGACCCCCGCGAAAGTTGCTTAACGACAACGATCGCGTGCCGCGGCGCTTATCTACGCCACTGAGATACTTGAATTATATGAAGCTTTAAAATCAAAAAGTTTGAATTTCTAAAATAACACTAAATCAGTACCTACGTTGAAAATGTGATATGAGCAAATTAAATAATGGTTAACTCCACAAAATGACCTTCGATCTCCTCAAAATATGTCGTTACTAATAAAATAACATATTTACGATCCCCATAAAATCCAAGTTTGATTCCATTTATTGCAGATTTCTTCTTTATAGCTTAATTTTTGCAATAAAAGTATGAAAAGAGCTAATGTGCGCGAACGGAGAACATGACGATACCTTATAATAAATTCATATACCTGGAATTTCACTGGCTATAAAAAGCTTGTCAAGTGCGAGTCGAATTCGCGCACAAAGGATTTTGTACCGTTATCTTTGAAAAACTAGAAAAAAACAGATTTGAGGCAATCTCCCTTAAATAATTGTTGTTACCTATCTATGAAAATATCAAGTGTATATTACTGGTGACATACATATCGCACGTTGAGAACGATAGTGACACAATGCAAAAAATGCGATTTTGAGTAATGAGCGTTTAAAGTTCAAGAAATTGTAAGCAGCCCCTCTAAACAGCGTATCGTCACTACGCCACCTAGCAGTTTCTATGCAAGCTACGTTCACAGGGATCTTTGCATTTTAAAGTTTATACTTAACAAAGCAAATGTTGTCAAAAGTAAAAAATACGTCGTTTTTGGACGACAAATTGACAAATGGATTCTTAGTAATAGGGTCCCGTTTCTACCCTTTGGGTATGGGACCCACCGAACCTCTTTACGGGTCAATTTACACTAGATCAGCACTGAATTGTCTCAATTTCGGAGTCAATTACTGACATTGTGTAAATGATGCCTTATGAAGGGTTACCTCCGAAGTAGCACAAAACACCATTATATCAAACTTATAATAGCACGAGTCCAAGCGTTAAGCATTATAATAAAATCGTATATAAACCGTATTTCTTTTAAACGACTCTTATACGTAAAATATGGGCCCCCCCTTTGTACGACTTTAAGCTTTATAAAATCTGTGCAATAGCACTACAACTTTTGTATAATAGCATTAATAAAGTCGGGTAAAAGCATTCTAATAGCACCTTAATGTGCTAATTGAACTTTTTGTGACTATATTACAATTGATATGCGAAATCAAAATTATAATACGTTAATTTAATGTTATAAAAATGCTTACTGTTTTATTTCCTTTGTAAAAAAAGTATATTTAATAGATTTTTAAAAAATATAATCGGTTTAAATTACATATTGTTTTGTGTAAGTGTCATGACATGTTCTCTTGGCTGGTCTTTTAAGTATTTTTGAATATTGATTTAAACAGCTCGTTATGTAAAAATAAGCTGCAAACATCAGTTTGTGGAGTAAAATATACAAGTTTATGGTGTAAAATACACGCGCCTTCGCAAACTTCCTTTAATATAATAAAAATAATAAAAAATTTAACCAAGTAGCAAAAATTTTTGTTGAATTTTAGGCTTTTAGCATTGTTTTAACAACATAATTGTTTTTATAGGCATCTGTGCACAAAATAAATGATTATTTACCCCTTTTCATCTGACATAGTTGACTTTAAATATTTTGTAAGAAATGGAAAAAGAAAGCAAATGGCGACTCGTAAAATTAAAGCATTAGGTATTCAAATATGGTGTAGTAGAGCTGTTAATCGTATTATGGTTAGACACAAAACTAAGAGCTCGTAATTCGCCGTATAACACACTCCCATTTTAGGTACAGCCATATTTTAACACTTCAGAAGTATCTTATAGTGCTAATAATCATCAAACGATTATTTCATTTTTATTTTGATTTTTAAAAGCTTCAATTAAATTAGAATACTCTTTGTTTTTCCCAACGTTTTTTGTCCATGGCGCCATCGATGCGCCATCCATTACAATACAATACATAAAATAATTTTACATTTTAATTTCACATCAAAAATAATTACGATTGATCAAAATATAGCCTAATGTTTTATAAAAGCATAGATTAAGAAGATAAAGAAGCTTGAGCTTGATTAAAGAATACATTAAGAACAAATCGGTGCTAAAGTTTTACTTGTTCTTTATTCAATGTGTATATAGGATAAGCATTAAATCGATACAACCATAGCCCATTAGAAAACCTTTGTTTCTAGAAAATGACTAAATACTCGTACAACTAAGTGCACTAAATAATATTACGTCAATGCTTATATAATATATAATGTTTTTCATATCACCGAAATACGATAACAGTTTTATATTAATATTACCCAATACTTAAATAGGAGTTTTGACATTGGTATACTTTTTTTATTAACCATAATATAGCATTAAGCATTATTAGATAAAATAAATGCCTTTAAACACATTCGAAACTTGACCAGTGCTGATTAAAAATGTTAGTATGACTTTAGAACATAAATCTGTACTTATTTTAGTTAATATATTATTTATGTGCTACTTGGGCTCTACTTCCAAAGATAATAAAGATTACATATCACTGAAACTGTGACAGCGCTGCGTTCAACATCGAGTTCGATGTTGGTTTTTATAGCATAGATAGTCTTGGTAGCCCAATGAAGCCGTCTTAGTTAGTAACTTCTATTTATTTATTGAAATAAATAAATAACTTCTATGCCTGGAGCGGAAATAAATATTAGACAATATCACATTCTTTGCTCAGATTCCAAGATGAGTATCTAAAGCCCCCGTATTATGAAATATCTAAGACAACGAAGGTACCACATCGCTCAGACGCAAGACAACACAGAAAAGTTAATTTTCTCTATTGACTTCTGAGAAACGAATATCAGAGATGGCGAAACATTGAAAGCGGTGTGCCAACCACTGTGTTTATGCTAGATTGTGAGCAATTGAAGTTGAGATTAATATTAAATGAGTCATAATCAATGATCAGTCAAGCTGACTTTGACATTGACTATGACTCTCATAGTATAAGCAATAATTTTAACTAGCAAAGATTGGATGGTTATAGGTAACAGTTAAAATCTGACGTCATCTCACCATTGCTAGATAATAATAATAATTCTTTATTTTCACAAAGAGATAAGGACATTTTATGAGCACCCTGAGGTAGGTATATAAAACGTGAATTTCAGACACCAGTTTCCTCTATCATGTTAGAGAACATATCAATCCACGTGTTATAAATAATAAACCATTACAAGAAAACAAAAAATAAAATAAAAAAATAAGGAGAAAAGTAAAATTATAGAAATAAAAAGCAATGGAGTTAGTGTGTGTGTGTGCGTGCGTGGGCATGTGTGTGTGTGTGTGTGTGTGTGTGTGTGTGTGTGTGTGTGTGTGTGTGTGTGTGTGTGTGTGTGTGTGTGT